AGTGAAGGCACAGCAGCATGATCTTCATTGATTGCTAATTAGCAGTCAGATGGCAAACTCTCCAAGGACTCTGGATACACAGTGCACTCTTGGCCTTCTTGGGCTAAGATCATGCATTTGTATCCCTGCCACTTTGTCAACACTGCTACCATTCCCTGGGCGAGCTAGATGAAGCTCACACAGGTCTGTTGACAAGTGCTGGAACTACACATTAGTTTTGCTGTATAGACATACCCATGAACTTTGACTTGAGGACCACACAGTCTAAACAGATGCAAGAAGGGTGCTAATGGTAACAAGTTCAGATAAGTGAATTGATTTTCCCAAGGTCCTTTAGCAAACCAGTAGCAGGTATTGCTAATAGGTCTCCCAGGTCTCACAGTAGTGCCCTAACAACTCAGTGCTACTTAGTAGATTGAAGAACCTGTCCAGCCATTTAGTAAGCTATTCTTTTTCATTAATGTCTTAAATGGTGCTAAGAATAAATTTATTGTTGTAAATTATTCTTTTATATCTGGATATGGTGTGTAAATATGCATGTTCAGGTTTCATAAGACCCAATTAAAACAAATATTTCTTTCACAGAGACAGCTAACAAATTGAATCAGAAGAAAATCTAGTTGCAAAACTCTTTTCCACCAAGTGGCTCATATCTTGCATAACCCTGACAGATGTGACAGGGAAAAATCAAACTATGCAAATTGAAATTGCTGTCTTAAAATAATTTGAGCATCGGAAGGCTTCAGGATCTTTTACATAAATTAGGCTTTTGTTTGTTTGAAGAACTGTGATCACTCCTGCCAGAAGTGAATGATTAAAACCCCATTCTCAGGAACTACATTTAGGTGCTATTAAGAGCTGACAACATTATGGTTTGACCATTTGACTTTCACCACAAGCGTCTATCACCTGAGCTGAAAAACAAAGCAGAGCGTAAAGAGAATGCATTTGAGCCTCTTAAACTACTGACATAAATCTGCTACTGACGCAGAGGAAGAGGGACAGAGCCAAGACCCGTTCTTTCCTGGGTTCAGTTTCATTGCCCCAGGTCACACTAGCACTGTACAAGGTCTCCTCTACTGTTGCTGTTCCTTCTTTTCACAATGTTTTTTGCTGCTGCCTGTCTTAACACAAGGAATACATTTTAAAATATTCTCTGGTGTTACTAAGCTCCAGGTTTTCTGCCTCTATTCTTATCTAAATGGCACATGCAGAAAATTCAAATCATAGCACAACCATAGGCAAAATAATAAAGTCATTTTAGTTGAGAGCCAGTAAGGGATAAGTAATGGGATGTTGTCCTCACTTGCAGGTTAGTGATTAAAATCCAGGCATCCTTTGTTGTGGCTGAAAGCTGTTACAATTGTTGGCTCCTTAGTAACTTGTATGCAGTACATTTTATTGTTACTGTCTGGTTGCTAGTAAACATATAGTCATATGATATAAAACCAAAACCACAGCTAATCTAATAAGAGACCCTGTTGGCTAGGATAGATTGATTTAAATGATATTTTAAAATAGCATGCAAAGAACTTTTTGTTTTAAATGATCTATATGAATCCCATTTTGCATTTATACTACTTGTTATTTTCCTAAAGAAAGGTTAATTCCTTTTGCCTAGTAATTAAGACAGTGATTTGCATGTAAATGTAGACCTTACATTAAACTTGTTACTTATTTTTGCTAGCGTATTTTTGCTAACTCTGTACATAGTTACACAATTACATATTTATTTCCTTTTATGTTTTTCTTGTGGTGGTAAATGGCACTTCCTATTTACCCAATAATCTTTTACTTACCATTTGTGTCAAGCTGCTTTTGGATAAAAATAGAATTCAGTGAATACGGAAAGCTAGCGTTTTAAAAAGTGCATTTATTAGTTTAAAATGTGCATATGCAAAATAGGCTTATCAAAACTTATTTTTCTTTTAAAAGTTAAAGAAAGGAAATATCTCTAGTTAGTGTATTGAACTGATTATTTCTGGTGCCTAGGTCCTCGAAAAATTTAGAGCAAGTAGGTCTGAGCTGTTCTCACCTACTTCTTATTCCTAGACTGGAGAAGAAAAACATGCTTTCCTGATTTTTTTTCAATTCCCAAATGGTTTCTTAAATTTAAATGAGCTAAACTGAATAAATTAAAATGAAGATTACATAATCTGTATCTTGCAACAGTAGCCCACATTGTCCAAAAGCTGGTTCAGTGCCTCAACAAGTTCTTGTTCAAGTATGTAGCCAGTTATTTCCCACAGGGTAAGGGTTTGACATTGTTTTAAAAATTGGAGAAAAAAATATATGGCTTTGAATATTATATTATAAAAGATAAATTAGATCACTGTAATATTAAGCCTCATTATCAGTTGTAACAATTTCAAATCTAAAATAGATTTTTATTAAAAGAAAACTAGAGTTAAATGCACTTGCACTGGCAAATTGCTTTGATCCAGCCTGGGGCTGCCCCCCCATGGTGCTCCACATGGGGCTGAGGCCCTCCCGGGGCAGCCTGCACCATGTTCCAGCCCGCACCCACTGGCCTGATCCTGGCCAGCGCGTACAGCTTGCCAACAGGGCTGCTCCTGGTGCGGTTGTTACTCGGCTCCCCTCACCTCCAGGGGCAGCTCCTCCCCCTGCTTGCTTCTGTAGCACCCCTCCAGGCTGGGAGGAAGCTGCATCTGGGCAGCTTCTGCCCCAACACATGGGGCTCCAGTCCACCCACCCTGCCACCCGCAGGTGGCTGCTCATTGTGCCAGGCATGCAGAATGACTGGAAGGCAGCTGGGAGCTGGAGCCAGAGCCCCACGCGTTGGGGCAGGAGCTTCCCAGCCTAAAGCAGCACAGCAGGAGCAGGAGGAGCCACTGCTGGAGGTGAGGGGAGCTGAGGAGCAGCCACATTGGGAGCAGCCCTGCTGGTAAGCTGTGCATGCTGACTGGCCCCAAGTGCTGTAGGGGCATCTGCAGACCACAGTGCCCAGGCAAGCACTGCTGCATATGTCCCCTCCTCCCTCCCTTTGCCCCTGGCCAGCTCCCAGGACGTAGCATGCAGGCATTCCCCACGCCACAGGGCAAAGGCTGTCCTGCTCCATGATCCAGCCTCGCCTGTCTGTCTCGCTCTCTAAACACTGCTCCCCACTTGCCCATGGCCCCGTCCCACATAGGGAGGTTTGGTGAGTTGTTGCAGCAGGGTGAGCGGACGGGTGCTGACCTGGCCTCCAACAACTCGTCAAAACTCCCCAGGCCCAAATAATTGCCCACCCCTGAATTAAAAGGAAAAAGACCTGATCTGTATCTTCTTGGATTAGGTCCTAAAATTTGGAAAAGGAAACAACTTTAGGCATCACTAATTGTATCACATATGTTATTCTTTTTCCAGTTGATTTTAATAATACATTAGATGATTTAGGCAGAAAATTCCAGGGGGCAGAGCCAGTTAAAATTCAGTGAACAAATTGGATGAAATGCCCACTTTGTGTTGAAAAATTGACAAGGCTTATAATAGATTTCAGTAATACTGTACTTACAAAAAAAAAAAACAACAACAACAAAAACAAAAAAAGAGTGCCCTGTGATGTGATTATTCTGGGGTTCAAGTTATGAACTTGGATGAATTATTCATTACATCCTTAAAATTAGAAATGGACCAAAGGTTCCTGTCAGATGCATCATGTTAATAGAGAGAAATTAAAAGCTTGCTTTTTATAACACGGAAAACATCCAGGAGAACACAAAACAACAGCAGACTCTCCCTTTGCCTGAAGAAACATGTTTATGCCCAAAAGCTTGTAAAGAACGGTTTTTCCAACTATTTAATTGGTCTAATAAAAGATATCACATTTACCCAAAGAACTTTGACTGCCTTTTCATAACACTACTTTTCAAAAGGCTGTAATAGTGAGAAGATTAAAAAGGATGCATTTTTTCTGTCCATTACCTAAAAGTTTTTTAAATGCTTAAAAAAAGACTTTCTCTGAGATGCATATTAACAATTTTTAGATTACTGGAAATGCATTCAGTCAAGAGGAGAAATTCCTCATGTTCATATAAAATGAAAGGACATTCTGAACAAGATAGTTTATTTTTCATGGCCAGCTTCCCAGGCGAACATGATCAAAACTTTGGGTTTGAAGTTACTTTAGTGAGATAACAATTTTGGTTTTTTGAGGGGGTTTTTTTGGCTTCAGTATGACTGGGGCTTGTGTGGTGTGATATTGCTATAAATCTTTCAAGAGATGTAACATGATCGATTGTAGAAAACTATCCGGATAGAATAAAAAATAAAATAGCTACTTTGTTGACTGGCAAACAGAAAAAAAACATTCATGATTTGCAATGAATGTACTGTGCCCCTGGCTTGCTTTTAAAACCAGGCAGTCTAGCATGAAGTACTGAAGTACTTTGACATTCTAGCCTGTCAGTCTGTAAACAAGTATAATTGCGTACATTTTCAACATCAGACTGCAGAATTTGTTGAGCATCCTCAACCTATACAAAACTTCCTGTATTTGTATGCTCTAAGTTGAACAGATTGACATTTATAAAACACCAATGACCTGTAGAAGGTCCAGCCTCTAAGCAATACTTTTTGCTTTGGAGGGTTTTTTTTTTTCTTTTGTTTTCTTTTGTTTTAAAGCAGCTTGAGCAGATTCTCATGTAAGTGCCTTATGGAAAAATCACACTGAAAATAAGAGTTAACAATTATTTTTGGTAATGGTAATTTATAGTAGAGCAAAGTTGAAACCTTTGTATTCTGAGAGAAGTTCTTAGTCTAGTTGTCACAGGACGCATCTACATGAGACACTGCGTCACTGTAGCTTGTTGGGCACAAAGTGTGACGGCGATATAGGATATAAAAACTGCACCGCCGGGAACGTGCAGTACCAAATGCACAGTCAAGGGCACGTGTAAACGCACCCACAGATTCCTAAACTAAGCTCCCCAGTGATGGGTTGTGTATGTTCCAACTTATTTCCCACATTAAATATGTCCCCTTCTTCTGCTTTGTTCCAGGGTATGGCCACACTGTGCCTTTGTCAGATGGAGGAAAAGCCTTCTGTATCGTCTACTCTGTCATCGGAATTCCCTTTACACTGCTTTTCCTGACAGCTGTGGTACAGCGCATCATAGTTCATGTCACCCGACGGCCTGTGCTATATTTCCACGTTCACTGGGGTTTCTCCAAACAAGTTGTTGCCATCGTCCATGCAGTGGTTCTTGGGTTCATCACTGTGTTGTGTTTTTTCTTTATCCCAGCAGCAATATTTTCTGCTCTGGAGGATGACTGGAATTTTTTGGAATCTTTTTACTTTTGTTTCATTTCCCTGAGCACCATTGGCCTTGGAGACTATGTTCCAGGGGAAGGTTATAATCAAAAATTCAGAGAGCTGTATAAAATAGGAATTACGTGTAAGTACCAGACTAACCCTTTAAATCAGAGGTTGTCAACCGAGGGTACACATACCCCCGGGGGTACTTGGGAAGGCCATAGGGGGTATGCATGGGTGGGCAGGGACGGAGCACCGCCACCCACCACCCTGTGCCGCCGTGTCCCAGGAACAGGGCTGGGGGTGGTGAGGACAGCGGTGCCCCTCTTTGGGCTGCACATGCACCGCCCAGCTGCCTGGGGGGGAGGGGGAAGCTCGCACACATTGGCTGCCACCGCCAATCACCAGCCTGGACTCCAGGTGCTCTGCATCTATCCGCGCCCCCCCACTCCACATCCAGCCACTGGGGGTACACTTAATAAAAAAGGTTGAAAACCCCTGCTTTAAATAATAGACATAATCAAAGGGTTTTCTAAGCAGTTAGTGCCTTTGTCCACACTTATTAGCTACTTTACTCAAAGATGAATAGTTCATGTTTAAGGGAGGAGGAACCAGTGAAGAATACAGAGAATGGTGTCATACAATCAAGGTCATGAGCTGAAAGAATTATCATTGCAACAGCAGGGATTGGATGTGACCAGGGCAAGATTCTTCCATATCAGTGCCACAAAATAAAGCATTTGCCTGAAAGATTTCTTTGGAGATGATCCTGAATCTTCAGATGTGCTGGACCCAGGATCCAAATAATTAATGCAGATACAAGCAATTCCTACCAATTACATTCACCCTACTGATCAGGAGATGCCTGTGCTCCCACGCTAAGTACATAATCTGTTGTCAAATTGTCCATTACTTATATGGGTGACAGACTATGGGAACATGTACAGAATTTGCATTCTCAGAAGCAGTCCCTTAAATTAGCCAGCAGTATATTTTGTCCTCTTCAGCATTATACTACACTCTAGCTCCTAGCTAACGGCCTCACCATCCTGACTGTTGGCATGAGCATTTAATTATTTATTACTATTCAGATAGCTTAATACGAGTACAATGCATGCTTAAGGTTGTAGGAATAGAGCTATGCAAGTAACTTGACTTTCTGGTTTACTGGCAGCTCCATTAAAAACAAATTGCAAGTCAACCCAAAACAATTTTTTTCTGATATTTTGGTGAACTGAAAAATCAAAGAAAATTTCAGGTTAAATGAACTTTGTATTTCAATTTCAGGATTTTTAAAAATAAAATTGAAAGAAATTTCTAACCAAAAAGTTTTTAATCAACATAATTTGTTTTGAAAGTATATTAAAAGAACTTGTGAAAATTTTCAATATTTCCAATTTGTTTCAGAATCTCCAGAGAATGTTGTGACCAAAATTTCACCTATTCACAGGTTCAGTAAATGACAGACTAGGGGTCCAAATTCATAGTCAAAGACTTTCCCTAATGAGAAAATCTAGGTACACTTTTCCTGGTAAGTCATGAAGTTGAGATAAGTCTGGCTCTCAGAATGAGTACCTAGTAAAGATGTATAGATGCCTTTCTATTTTTAGAACAAGTATTTTGCCCTTATTGTGTTGCATGGGTTCATAGATTAGTAAGGCTGGAAAGGACCTTAAGCAATCATTTGGTCCAGCCATAAATCAAACCTGTGGCCTTGGTGTTACAAGTGCTACCCTCTAATCACCTGTGCTAGGTGGTCCTGTTTGGCTATGTGAGTTAAAGCATAACAATGCTTAAATTTAAGCTTCATAAAATGAAATTGTGCAGACTTAGGCCAGTAGTTCCCTAGTGGGCATATCCAGATGAGCTGGATGATCGGAGATCCCGGTATCAAAAAAAACCCATGCCAGAAAAAAAGTAGGGTGGCATGCGTGGCAGCATTGTGCGCTACTCAGAGCCTGGCCAGCTAGAGCCATACTCCAGCTGCTGGCCAGCCTCCACACACCTGGATAGCTGCTGCTGGAGCTCCAGGAGGCTCCCAGGACCCCAGATAAGGCTGCTGAGGCCATCCCAGGTGCTGGTCCCAGCCTCCTCTACCCCACCTGGGGCAACTTGCCTTGCATCAGAATGCACATGCAGGGGCATTCCCCGGGGAAAAGTAGCAGCGACATAACTATGTTCTGCTGCTATTTACCCCAGGGAAACGCACATGCATACTCGTCTGGACACACCCTGAGTATTTAATCATGCTTTAAAGGTGTATTTTAGGGAGGAGGAGAGGGTTTCATGCAGAAGTTAGAGGCTTCAAAGTATATTTAGTCCTTTCAGTTACAAAGAACACTACCCAAATGAACATTGAAGCCAAATGAAAAATGATCGTAAAAATAATGATAGGTTGACTGTACAGCATATTATTGCACAGACTGAAGGGCATGCCATACTAATTAAAATGCAATAAACTCCTGTTTGCTTTACTAAACTTTTACTAAACAGATAATTAATGAAATTATAAACCATGTGGGCAAGAATATAAATAGTAGTGATTATAAATAGTCATGGTTTAATTAGTGTATTTAGATTAAGAAATGCTTGTTGGAATACCCTCCCTGGAGGCCCACTAGGAAGCTCTGTGTACGTGTGTGGGGTTGGAGAAAAAAATAAAAGCCCAGTGGATGATTAGCGTGAGGCTCATTTTCAGAAATGCTGAGTGCTGTTAGCTCCCATTCAGGTCAACACCCCTGAAAATAGAAAAGAATGGAAAATAATATATATTCAGTGATCATAGGTGGAAAGAATTCCAAGTTGGAGCTATATCGCATCAGCTCTACCTGTTCATGTTTTAGGCATTGTGTTTTTTGTTTCTTTTCCAGGTTACCTGTTGCTGGGCCTTATTGCAATGTTGGTGGTTCTAGAAACTTTCTGTGAACTCCATGAGCTCAAGAAGTTTAGAAAAATGTTTTATGTGAAGAAGGACAAGGAAGACGACCAAGAGCACATAATAGAACATGACCAGCTTTCCTTCTCCTCTATTTCGGACCAAGCGGCTTCCAGGAAAGAGGATCAGAAAGTAAATGAGCCTTTTGTGACTGGTCAATCTTCAGTTAATCATGGTTCTATTAATAATTAATATAAGGGCACCCATCCCAACATTATAGTGCACTTACACTATTACAGTAAGAAATAGAATGCCTCTCTCTCTCTCTCTCTCTCTCTCTCTCTCTCTCTCTCTCTCTCAAGTATAAGCGCTGAAAAACAATGTAACAAGTATTCATCATTTCAGGCACTGGAAAGATTTCTGGAGCAAATTAATGTGTCTAAAACGGAAACTACACTAGGAGAGTTGTCGGAGATATGACACACAGTTGGCTGTAATACCTGAGACCAGGATCACCTATAATGTGGCATGGAAGGATGGATGCAAGGTATGGACTGGCATCCACACTCCTAAGACAGGTATAGTCTGCACTCCTTCAGTGCAGCCCCGTACCTCCAAAAGTGGGCTTGTGTCCACACTCCCATGCAGTTACACACCCTATGGGCAGTCCTTCCACTAGGCCTGGAGAAAATATTTTCAGTGAAGAAAATTCACTGAAAAATACAGCTTCTGTCATCCCCACAGTATTCATTAATGGACATTAATACACCAAATACTTTCAGGTGAAAGAGTTTTTACAAGGGGAGGACTAGATGCACAAAACTGCCAAAGAACCTGCCATGCCATTATGTAGTAGATTGGGGTTACAGCACTGACCTGGGATGTATGTGAGTTGGATTCAATTCCATCCTCTGCCTTAGGAGCCTTCAACCCACGTCAGACTTTGCAGGAGTACACCCTTTATTTAGTAGCTGGCAGGAAGCTATTCTGGAAAAGAGTTTTCTCATTTCTTTCTGTTAATCCTGTTCCATGGTATAAAAATACATGAATAGACATCAAGACAGAAGGAAGTAGGTAATGAACCTCCAGCCTGGTGATTAGGACATTCTATTGAAAAATGTGACACCTAGATTCCAACCTCTTCTCCAGTGAGTGTTGACTTATATATACAGAGCAGGACAATGTCAGCAGCAGAGATCGTGAGCACCCACCACAAGCTTGGAGGCTGAGCAAAATGGCTTAATATCCTGTCAGGAAAAGGATGGAATCAAGCCTTTTTCTCCCATGACCTTAATCAGTGCTGTAACCTCAAGCCAGGTGGTGAAAGAGGGGTAACAGCAACAGCTTTGTGAACCTAGCCTTTTACTTCCTTTGCTTTTCCTACAAATGCACAAAACTGTGTTTCATTTTTAATCCAATGGAACATTTCAGGTTGAAATAAATAAAACTTTTCAGTCTTTTTCAAGGAGGAGAATAAAATGAAAAATTTTCAATCTGGTTTCCAGCAAACTGGATTTTTGTTGTTTTTGTTTGTTGTTTTTTGGCTTGGCTTGGCTTGGCTTGGCTTGGCTTGGCTGTCAACAGGAAAAATTATCTACGTGTATAGAGCAAGCTAGATCCCGCTCCTTCCCCCCCCCC